CACTTCTCTTATAGACAGCTACAGACCTGTCTCTCTCCTTCCTTTGATAGCAAAAACACTCAAACTAGTTATTTTTAACCAGGTATCATAATTTCTTACACAGAACAACCAACTGGATCCTAACCAGTCAGGCTTCAGGAGTGACCATTCAACTGAGATTGTGCTACTGTCAGTCACGGAAGCCGTGTGGATTGCTGGATCTATCTGCTGCTTTTGACACTGTCAATTATCAGATCCTCCTGTCCACCCTCTCATCACTGGGCATCACAGGGATTCCACTTCGCTGGTTTGAATCCTATCTCACTGGTAGGTCTTTCAGGGTGGCCTGGGGTGGGGAGGTATCCAAAGCACATCAACTGGTCACTGGGGTTCCTCGGAGATCAGTTCTGGGACCCCTCCTCTTCTCCATATACACTACATCACTGGGACCCATCATACAGGCACATGGTTTCTCCTACCATTGCTATGCTGATGACACACAGCTCTATCTCTCATTTCAACCAGATGATCCAACGGTAGCTGCACGGATCTCAGGCTGCCTGGCGGACATCTCGGCATGGATGAAAGAACATCACCTACAGCTAAACCTGGCAAAGACTGAGCTTCTTGTCTTCTCGGCCACTCCAAATCTACAGCATGACTTCACTTCTGATTCTGATTCTGATCATGCACAGTCAAACCTTTACAAATGATTCAGAATGCAGCAGTATGATTGGTCTTTAACGAGCCCAGAAGAGCCCACATCACACCTCTCTTTATCTCCTTGCACTGGCTACCGGTTGCGGCTCGCATCAAGTTCAAGACATTGATGCTTGCATGTAGAACAGCCTCAGGCTCAGCACCTGCCTACTACCACTCTTACGAATCAACATCCCCTCCAAAAGTCTGAGATCCACTAGTGAGCTATGCCTTGTGGTACCATCACAAAGAGGCACAAAATCACTTTCCAGAACATTTTCATTTACTGTTCCTGGCTGGTGGAATGATCTTCCCACCCCTATCCGGAATGCTGATTCCCTGACATTTTTCAAGCGACAGCTGAAAACTCACCTCTGTTGTCACTATCTGACTTCATCCTAATATATATATTTTTTCCTCTCTCTCACTTCTTGTCACAGGTACCTTATACTTAAAGTGTCAAGAGTTGTCACAGCTAGCATATCACATTTTTAAAATGTATTTACCTTCTGTGTTTTCAGGTTCTACGTTGGATGTGGAAAATTTCAGGATAGTGCTCATACCAGGTTATTTTCTGATCTACTGGTTTATATTTCTGATCTTCAAGAAGTGGGAAGCTTTATTCTCGAGACAGAATAGCAGTGACATTTTCCATTCAATTTATTAAATAAATACATTCGTAGACAAAAATAAATAAATAAAAATCTGCATAGGAAACATTAAAAACCTTAGTGATTATCCACACCTTTACACCTAAAGAAATAAATCATACTTTGCATTTATGTATTCATTAAATGCATAATAATTAATAAATATGTATATTTGGTAATAAGACACTTAAAGATGAATTTCGGTGTAATTTCTGTCACTGTGCCATTGCTGTATGTAAGTTGTTGCTAGGTGGTTAAAAATGGTACTCTTCATCTTTAATGTATAAACATGGAAAAGCATGAAAGTTCAAGGAGTTTGTGGCAATATGGTAAGTGTTCTTGTTTTTGTAAGCTTCAGTTTCTGGTCTATTGTGTACATGACACAAGAGGGCAGCAGCAGTCCATCATGAGAACAGAGATGATTTCTCTGCAGCCCTGTGAGAAGGAAGAATGAAACCTGCCATCTGTCGCAAAGAGGATGTTTCTGCATCACAAACAAAAATTAAATGTGTCATTTTTCACACAACAAAAAATATTTATGCAACAGATGAATATTTATACAAAAGGTTAATGTCTAGTAGTCTGAGATTTCAAGAATACATGAGTACTGTACTAAACAAGATCATTTTTTATGTACTTTTAGCAGAGTACTAAACTTGAATTAAAAGCAAATTAGCAAAGACAAAAAATGGTCAGTCGTGGACTGAAGATGTTTATTTGGTGTACACTGAAAATTGAAAATTAGCAAACAAAACCTGATGACCTAGAACAAAGTTTAATATGAGTCCAGGCAATCTGGCTGCTCTAATTTCAGTTGTTTATTTGGTGTACACTGAAAATTGAAAATTAGCAAACAAAACCCGATGACCTAGAACAAAGTTTAATATGAGTCCAGGCAATCTGGCTGCTCTAATTTCAGTTTAAAAAATAAAAAATAAAAAAGAGAAATCTTGCTCTGCAGACGCAAACACGTTACTAACAAATGAAGACCTGAAACATCATTCTGTAGTGTAGGAAAAACAATTCCAAAAGTGTTTCAAATATGTTAAGAAAGGGGAAAAAACCACTACATATTGTAAATACTTGGGCAGTAAAAAGTAGATACACAGCATTTTGTGTTAAAATAAGAATATCTGACAAAATATATTTTGTTTACAAAACGTTGATACGTGAGACTACACTTAAAGCATCTGTTAAATGGTGTTTATATATTATCATACATGTTCATATTGCACGAGAGTCGTCGGAAAACTTGGTCCTCTCCTTGGCCCAGACAGAGAGGTTGTAAGTAAATCTAGTCTGTCTCGACAGGGAGTAGAAGCAAAAGATTGAATAGAAATCATACAAGCATCTTAGAGTACATGTAAGACTGAATAACACATAATACTTGGTTTTGATCTCTTTCTCTCTCCTCTGTTTTGTTCTGTCCATCCCTCTCTGTCTCCAGCACAGTGTCATTTCACTGGTCCCTTGATTCATACAAGAATTTGGCAGCCTAGAGACAAACAGGGAATAGAAAACATAATATTATATAATATTGAGGAATCCTCAAAATCCTCTTAGTTATGACTAGGGCTGTGTGATACCAGGGACACAATAATGTATGGAAGAAATTGTGCTGATTAATATTACAACTGCTATGATACCGTTAATATCAGGTTTACTGCTAATTTGAAAAATATTCTTGAAAAATAAGTTTGACAAACAGTTTTGGATATTTTCTTCCTATTTAAACAGAATATACATAAGGCTGACTTGCCTTAAACTGACTTATTTAAGGCAATGTTTTTTTATTTTTATTAGAGACTTATTTAATTATATTATAATATTTAGGATATATTCACAATGATTTTGCTAGGAATATAAAATTAAACTTAATTACATAAATGCAATTATATCAAAGGCATATATATATATATATATATATATATATATATATATATATATATATATATATATATATAATATTTTTTTTAATACAGTGCACTCCTTTATTCACACCTACTTTATGCATGGCTGCAAGCCAGGCAGACGCGATGCGCTTGTCATCGGCAGGGTCCATGTGGAGCTGCTGTAGGTTCTGAGATCCTGGTGGCTTGTATTGAAGCACCATGCCGCTGGCTCGAAGAGAACACCCTAAAAACAGGTCAAAGGTCAGTGGTGGGGTTGCACACAAAGATTTGGGTTTATCTGATGTGATTCACATAATGTAAAAGTAACATGATACTTAAGTGCAACTGAAATATCTCCATCAAACATGAATGATGGGTAAACCATGAATAGCATGATATCCTAAACACCAGAAGTCTGAGGGACCATCACAATAAACATGCACATGCAGCCGTTCATGAGACTGCCTTGCTTTGACACTGTTACTTACAGCCATGTCACAGGAAATGAGTGCATGCCAGGTTACTTGCATCATATGAAGGGAACAACAAGGAAAACAAACTAAATGGCACATATTTTAGACGAAGAAGAAGAAAAATAAAAGAGCGAGATAGAGGGAAGCTGACCTTCAGATATTTGACTGTCCAGCAAGCTCGTGTACGAGCATATATCTTTCTCTTAATGCAGAAGAGAACCAGGAAATTAAAGAAAAGAAGAGAACGTTAAAAGGAAAAAATAGAGTGTATTCAAGTGTATGTATGCATCATAAGAAGCTTATATAAGAAGTTTTTGAAGTCAGGAAACATGTAATTACAAAATATCTAAATAAATGGCATTTATGTGTGAATTTAAGGTGAACTGACTTCATAAATCCCTTAGAAATCACCTGGACGTTTTAAAGTCACAGCAAAAAAATGACTCAGAAATGTGAAGTTAGTTCAGAGAAAGGTTTTATATTTTATGTCTAATGCAGTGATGTTCAGTCATTCTTAAGTATCCAAAAAAACTACTGGGGCCACTGTATAGTGTGTATATGTCAGTTGTATAGAATTGTTAAGTTAACTCAGTACTACAGTGCAATGTTAATAGCCATCAGCATTCAGTTAAAGCAGAAATCAATGCAGCAATTGTATATTCATGCGAGTATCTGAAGATTAATGTGTCATATGTGAAGCTTTCAAAGAATTTCTCTATATCATATTATCAGTATCAGATCAGGTCATATTGTCCATCTAACATATTGTATTAACAAAATAAATCTCAGCTCATAATATTATATATTCCTTTATATCTACATGCAAGAATTTATATTTAAAAACAAACCCTAAGACCAGATTCATGCTGAAACCTCACTTTCTTCTGAAACAGAATCGAGGCAGTAAACCTCTTTATTGATTAGTATTACAGGAAGTTCTGAGCATCTGGAATCCACCCGGAAAAGATGTCCATTATAAGTAATTTATGACAATCTGATAGGAAGACTTGATGATGCTCTATAAAAGTTGGCAGTGTGATTCCCAAACAGACTCAGTACTCGCTAATTCCAACGACAACCATCTAGATCATTGAGGACAACTAGTAAGTCTACCTGGATTTATTGTTTAGCAGCAGTGCTTTTAAATTGATTCATTTAAATGTAAACGTTTCCACAAAAATATTAAGCAGCACTGTTTTCAACATTTATACTAAGTAATCACAAATGTTTCTTGAGCAGCAAATCAGCATATTAGAATGATTTCAGTTTGAAATCATTCAAAATTCAGCTTTGCATCACAGGAATATATATTTTTTTAATTAATTCAAATAGAAAACAGTTATTTTAGATAACCTGCTTTGACTGCATTTTAAAGGGGTCCTATTTTGCTCTTTTTCAAAGTCTTGATTTTGTTTTGGGGGTGTACTAGAACAGGCTCTCATACTAGGTTGTTCGAAAAACACATTATTTTTCACATATTTTACATTATTACAACACCTCTCTCCCCAGTCTGGCATGAACGGCTCGAATAGTTCCTGTATCAAATAAAGGCCCACCTTCTGAAATATGAAATGTGCTGTGATTGGTTAGCTGGGCCAGTGTGTGCTGTGATTGGTTAGCTGGGCCAGTGTGTGTTGTGATTGGCAGCACTCGGCGCCTGGTCGGGAAATGTCACGCCCCTTACCATAGCCACCTGCGAGCTTCAGTGTACATATTGCATCAAAATCAAATCAATTTGAGCGTGATTTAAACCCGGATGATTGTAACCACTCTAAGTTTGTCTGTCTTGGGAAAGCTAGCTTTATCCGACATAGTGATAACACTCGTTGCCTTCTCTAGTGCAGCTCAACCAGGTCTCGTCCTATTCGTCGATATTTGTGATATCACAAATACCAGAAAATATGCGTTGTAGTCCAAACGAGTCGTTCGTTGTAATTCTTGAAAAGTGATTTATGTTAAATAAAATATCTCCTTTTGAACTGGACTTTGAGCTTTGTAACTTTGCAGGTCTTTTTTATGCTCAAACAGCAACATTACAGACTAACTAAAGTTGAAAAACTGAAAAAGCATAATAGGACCATTTTAATCACACAAATGCAGCTTTGGCTAGCATGGTGATTCTTTCGGGGGCATTTTAAAAATTGTACTGACCTTTTTAACAGTAGTTTAGGTCGCTTTGTATAAAAGCGTTGATCAGATGCATAAAAGTAATGCAATGTAACTTTTCAGAGAGGTTTTTAGCATCAACAAATGTGTAGTAAGTGCTAGCAAATGTGCTAAACTCACTAAAATGTTTTTGCTCCTGTTTTTTATGGGATTATATCTCTGCCACAAAAGTGCGTTTTGCACGCGCGCAAACTAAGTTTTGTGGAGAAAATGTTTGTCTCGCAAAGAAGAAAGTATTTAGAGCGCACGAAAATCAATTTTGCATTTAAAATAATTTTTGGATTTGTGCAGGTTCTTTTGCGCGTGCAACGTTTCACTAGCTTGCTCACCTGCTGCCCGCCCTCAATGCTCTCTAAATGCCAACGGCTCACTTGCTCAACACAACCCAGCATTACAATATGCCATAATTACAGCCAATCAGAGACAAGGCTGCTAAATTCTGATTGGCTGCCTTGACAACCAATCACAACATTCCTTGCATTAACTCGACAGCAGAAGAGGAAAAATACAGTGCATGCATAATTATTATGCAAGTTGATATTCTGATCATATTTTTTTCCAACCACATTTTACCAATTCCAAATGACATCAATCTTAATAACTACTATTAATCTTGTATTTAATCATTTATCATTTATATATAATTATTCCTGAATGCTGGAAGTGAAAAATGTCTTATATTCAGGTGTGCATAATTATTAATCAGATTTTCTTTTACAGATAAAAATGAGCCAAAAAAGAGATTGAACTCAAATCAAACTACAAATTAATGCATAACCATTGTTCAGCAAAATGCTCAGTGAGTCAGCAGGGTCAGTCAAAAACATGTGGAGAAGAAAAGATGCATGTTAACTGCAAAATAATTATGAATTAAGGTGAAGAATTAGGTGTGAAATCACCAGGAACCATTTAGTCTCCAGCGTCACCATTTTCCAGAACTGCAACCTACCTGGAGTCTCCAGAAGTACAAGGTGTCAGGTTCTCAGAGACTTAAGTTAAGTATAGAATCCTAAAAAATGACCCCTACTTAATAAGAATCACATACTGAAGTGTAATAAAATACTAGAAGACTGATTTTTTTTTTTATGTATACGCTTTATAAACAGGTAAGTTGAGAGTGACTCTTGAAGGACCAGCACCACATTCTCTTGTACCACTGTTTGAAGAATTTATCTTCCAGAATCTGGCAGTAAGTTTTGGGAGTTCATTTTTAGTCCATCTTGAGATTTTATATGTAGAAGATAACCTGCTTAATAATTATGCACACCTATAAGGCGCTTTTTCACTTCCAGCCTTCATGAACAATAATATATAGGTTATGTGATAAATACAAGATTAAAAGTAGTTAGGTAAGTGATTAAATACAAGATTAATAGTAGTTATTAAGATTGATGTTGTTTGGAAGGGCTCTCAAAAAAAAATTTCAAATTTAAAATATTCGTCGAATTTAAAATAAAAATCCACATTTGAATGCAAAAACGTTGCATTCGAATTTTAGGTGTGCGTTAAGGAGGCAGCCTTATCAGCGGTGCCCTCTTGTGGCCGCAGGAGAGAAGCCAAAAGCTTTTCTTCACCCTAACTGAAATTATGCATTTTAAATGCTAATATAATTAGAATTTTGATAATATTTAAGTACAAAATTCGAATTTAGTTTTTCAGCCATTTTGACAATCCCTAGTGTGCAGCACAGCAAATATAGACTTGGTGCGGGAACGATCGCTGCGATGCTGCAGACGCACCGCTCGGAACGCGTCGAGTGAATGCTCAACATGGGAAAGGAAAAAAACATGCACTGCAAACGGAGTATGTGTGAAACAGGTGTGGAATAGTAAATGTAGTTTGTAATTATACATGCTTCTGTGACAGCTTTGTATAATTGATGTTTTGTCATGCAATGTTAGCCTATTTTTAATGCACTCAGCCTATAGGCTTCATTTGGTTTTCAATATAGGCTATTCGATCATTAAATGAAGCTTAAATCATTAAAAACTGACATTATGGTTCAAAACTGAGGCCTACATTCGTATGTATTTTTGTATTTAGGCCTATTGTATTTATTTTTTTAATAATGCTGTTTAAGACAATATACATTTAGCGCCATCCCCTGACCATTATAATGTGACGAATTCATTAAAGAATATATTATTTTTTATTTAATTCTGAGAGAACATTCTACCACGGCTGTTTTTCGTGACTTTTCCCTCTGTGAAATTAAGGGTCGGCAACAGCAAGCAACGGTGATAGCTCATTTAAAAGTAATATCACCACTAAATTGGACTAATTTGGACATGGTCATGGTAAATAGAGTCGAGGAGTCGATTCTATCGACTCCTATGGTGGGAGTCTGGAGTCAGAGTCGACTCCGAAAAACCTGGAACTGAACACCCCTATTTTAAATGCCGAATTGATTTTAGTGCGCTCTAAATACTTTTTTCTTTTTTCTATTTTCTCCACAAAACTCAGATTGCGCGTGTGCAAAATGCACTTTTTGTGCGCTCAAAATATGATATTTTGCACGCAGAATTGTGGCAGAGATCTAACCCTATAGCTTTTGGCTAGTGTGAAGAGAATAGTAAAAAAAAAACAATGTTTGTATTGCTGTGAAACGTTTGTCCACATAGAGCCTCACCTCCTGGGGTTGAGCCCTCAGTCAACACCTGCATACTGGAAATGCGAGAGAGCTCCACTTCAAAATGACTCTCACCATCTAGGAAGAGATATCTGAGAGAGAAAAAGAGCGAGAGATTCAAGACAGGATAGATCACATTAAAAGAGGTCCATTTGTGGATACATGCCACCCCTATTTTAAATGCCGAATTGATTTTAGTGCGCTCTAAATACTTTTTTCTTTTTTCTATTTTCTCCACAAAACTCAGATTGCGCGTGTGCAAAATGCACTTTTTGTGCGCTCAAAATATGATATTTTGCACGCAGAATTGTGGCAGAGATCTAACCCTATAGCTTTTGGCTAGTGTGAAGAGAATAGTAAAAAAAAAAAAATGTTTGTATTGCTGTGAAACGTTTGTCCACATAGAGCCTCACCTCCTGGGGTTGAGCCCTCAGTCAACACCTGCATACTGGAAATGCGAGAGAGCTCCACTTCAAAATGACTCTCACCATCTAGGAAGAGATATCTGAGAGAGAAAAGGAGCGAGAGATTCAAGACAGGATAGATCACATTAAAAGAGGTCCATTTGTGGATACATGCATAATATTACATGCATACCTGTGATTATTGGACAAACGGCAGACCATGGTCTCTGATTTCTCTGAGGAATCCACTCTGACCAGGAAAGTTCCTCCTACAAGGCAAGGTTATAAAAGGCTGTAAGGTTGTGGGTGGAAAGACTTATTAACATATTTGAAAACATTTTCTACATAAATAAAAGAGCTCATTAAATGTTTACAGCACTTCAGTCACACTGCATTAATAGACATATTCAAACATCAATGTTTGCAGATAAAACAGGCATGCATAAAATAATAGGGCAAATGAGCATGCAAAATTAATATTCAATATGGGAAGAGTCTGTTAAATATAAAAAAGTGAAAATCTATAAATTTTACCAATATATCATGCATTCCTAGTTGAGATCACAGAACACTGTCTTTGTGTTTTACGCGATTCCATCAGAACAAACTTTGCCAAACACACAGTGACTAAATTCTGTTTCCAGCAGCAGTTTAGTTGAGTCTCAGGTAAAGGATTACTCATTAAGTCAGTGTACACTAAAGTAAGCTACTGGATGAGTTACGTAACATTCATACGCTCTCCACGGCCTTTACTTAGCAACATCATAAACTTCTATGAGTCTGCGAATGGAAAAGTGGGAACAAGCGTGTCAGTGGTTTCAAGTTAAAAGCATTTGAGTGTGTGTTTGTGTAACCCACCGGCAGTGAGCACTTTAAGCTGTTTGTCGTAAAACTCCACCTCTTTCTGTGAGATGAGGCTGCACTCCGCACACTGCCTCACCGGATCCACAAAACACATCCTGGGAAGAGCCACTTTCTGACTGCTGCATTTATCACAGAAACACCGACCGCAGCGCCGACAGTGATGCTGACATACGCAGAAGAAACGCTTAGTGCTTTAAATCCATCACAATTCAATCAAACACACAACTGCTTCAGTACAAAATAGTAAAGCATTAAACATAGCATAGGATAGGATAGTTCACCCAAAATGAAAATTCTGTCATCATTTACTCAAAACAAAAAATGACTATGGAAGTCAATGGCTACAGTCAACTGTTCAGTTACCGACATTCTTCAAAATATCTTCTTTTGCGCTTAATAGAAGAAAAAAACTCATACAGTTTATGATGAGAGAATTGTTATTTCTTGGTGAACTATCCCTTTATCAATCATAAATAAGTGATATGACCAAAATAAAAATAACAGTATGAGAAATTGTATATCATGGACTACTAATACTCAAATGATTGGTAGTTGACATGTAGTTGTAAAGTTACTTGGTATAATGTCTAAAGTGTTATCTTTGAGGAAAGGGGATTTTACAATTTGATGTATGTGAACTTTATATATATATATGCAGTGTTGGGGGTAACGCATTACAAGTAACGCGAGTTACGTAATCAGATTACTTTTTTCCAAGTAACTAGTAAAGTAACGCATTACTTTTTAATTTTTCAAGAGAATATCTGAGTTACTTTTTCAAATAAGTAACGCAAGTTGCTTTTTTTCCACTTTATTGATTTTTTTAAAAGTATCTTTCCCCCACACTGTATATATGTGTGTGTGTGTGTGTGTGTGTGTGTGTGTGTGTGTGTGTGTGTCTGTGAAGAGTTCATTTGCAAAAACCGATAACTCCATTTTTATTTGTGATTACACGCAATACACGGAGCTTTTCCCTCACTGTAACGCTCTGCTTTTGCAAGGTTCCGTGAAAACGTTTCAGCTTTTATTTTCCTTTATCGCCCTGAAGAAGATATCACAGGTTCATCAAGTTCATTGAAATTATCCATCCTCGATCACTTTTAGTCAGCTTTGACGAAACTCCTCTCTCTCAGCTAGCACGTCTTTTCAAAGTGAATGTAGCCTTGTCACCTGACCTGAATACAGCGCGCTGATTCGCTAAAATGGACTTATCGGCTTCTGTTCAAAAACATAGAACACTATGGCAGAGATTCAGACACATAAAGTCAAGAAAAACAGGGAAGCAAAAAAGGAGAAAAAAGGAAACAGGAAGGAAAACATGCAACGGTATATTACTGCAAAACTAGAAACAAAGACATAAAAAAAATTTAACTGCTAAAGCTTAAGGAAGACACTCAAAAAGGGCCGTTCACACATACACATTTGAAGCAACAAAGCCGGTAGAAGTCAATCAATTACATTTTCCAGCAGTTATTGTAGGGATGTGACAAAACTGAATGAACAGTGACAAAATGAGGCAATTACCAAAATGAGGGACACTCAAATACAGGCATATACACATATATAAATAAAAATATATGTTTGTTTATTTTTTTTAATTCAAATTGTCAAATGACAAATGTGAAATGCAATTTTTCCATCAATATATCCCATTTGTTATCAGATTTTCAAAAGTTACACCCAAAGACCATCAATAAAACTAGGACATCCAGATGTAGGAAAGGCCACTTATGAGCAACAACACAGCCACTTGTCAACTTCAAATTAAATGAGGACTTGTCACTTGAAATTACACCTGACACATGATGGGTCAGCTCAGGCCCGGTTCTACAGGGGTGCTAAGCACCCTCAAACGAAAAAAAAAAAAAAAAAAAAAACAAGTAAAAAATTGTTAAGGGGATTTTTATAGAAGATTCTACAAAACTTAAATATTTAGTGTGGTAAATGGTTTGCTAAACCCATGTAAAGTTATTGTCAATCTTCTATCTAGACCAAGTATTAATATTATTAAATTAATGTATTACATTAATGAGGTCAACAGTGCCTGTCCACCTTTTAAGCGGCCTTGTTTCTGTGAGTATTTTCTCACAGAGATTTCTTAAAACGTCTCGACTTAATCTGTGTTTAATCACACCATTACAAACTTTGATTTGAAGGGTAAAAAAGTATGAGAAACTTGGACCGGGTCTGGTAGCCATTGACTTTCATAGTATTCATGGCTATCAGCAACTGCTTGGTTACTAACATTCTTCAAAAAAATGTGTATTTTGTGTTCAACAGGAGAAATAAACTCATACAGGTTTGGAACGACATGAGGGCGAGTCAATGATGACCAAAAAAAATACTATGTAAGATTATTTATGCATTTAAGACACACTTGCACGCTATTATTATACATGCATTCAAGTGTGTTTTAGTGTAAGCGTTCAATCTGGATCACCGCAGGAGCAGCAGAGGGAAGAGAGAGGAGATCTCCCGAGCAAAACTCCTCCTGTCCAAAAACAGCATGTTCTCCAAATTCACCTCCATCCTACAGCACGCCGTCGAGGCGGTAAGAGCTTTTAAAACGACATCTGACCGTATTTAAGTGACTGTTTGACTGGGAAAATGAGAAAGTGAGAGTCGGTTAGTGTTGATGTGCTGAAGGCCTGTTAGCCAAACACATGAGCTAACGTTAACAGCTTATGTAATACATAACAGATGACAGACAAAACATCTGAAACCGTTTTAATTGTCTCCTCGCGTGTGTTTAAATGTGTGTTTCCGCTCGATTGTCGTTTATTGTGTTTTTATGATTGGTCAGGACATATTAAGCCTTTGTTTGTTGTGTATTTTAGCAGCTGTGCTAAATCTTGCGCAATTCTCGGCTGGTTTTGGCTAAAGGTCTTCATGTACGCTAACCTTTTTGGGGTTTTAATCAATTTAAAGTGATATGTATAACGTTTTATAATATATATTGGTTATATAATGTGAAAATGTATATTAAAGTAATCCGCGTTAGGTAGTTAGCATGCTAGCACCTCATTTGTAGGATGTAAACAAAACATCTGTTACTATGACACGCGTACACTCTTTACATTACTTTACATGGTAGCTTCTAAATGTACGTGTTCAGATATATGCATTTTCATATTCCCCGGCAAAATAAAAACTGTGTTTGGTTAATGCACATGCACAGTGTCCCAAAAAGCGTTTTATACACACAGTTGTACGAATGTCATAAAATTAGACGAAAAAATGTCAACACCGTTTGCATTTATTTGAAAAATAGTTCGCTCAAGTACTGTTTTTATGAAAAATGTTTGTCAAAAAGAAGTTTGTTAGCTTCTAAATAATAGATACACTGTTAAAAATGAAGATGAAAAGTATCGTGGCACTTTTGTTGTTTGAAATGTTAGTGAATCATTTTCATAATTTTGTGAAATTACGGCAAAATTTCGTAATACAGCTACAAAATTCAACAAAATACAATTAAAAGTAACTGACAAAAAGTTCTATAAGAGCTATTATTTTGAGAAAATCAACATTTCCAGAGGACACTTTATTTATTTATTAATTTGTTTGTTTGTTTAATACAGTGACCTTCAAACATTTTTCCTTCAGACGTAAATGTCCAAATCTTTCAGGGGCCATTGTAGTATACACTATTGTAACAGTGTTTCACACACGTGCTTCGTTGCTGTAAAATACATATCAAATAGTAGGCATTTATGTTTTTATGATTGTTTTGTTTTGTTATTCAGCTTGCGCCGTCACTGCCATTGCAAGAGGACTTTGTCTATCATTGGAAGGCCATCACACATTATTACATAGAAACCTCAGGTAAGGAATGCCGTGATAGTCAGTTGTGCTTATTGGGCTTTTTTTTTTAACACCAAAGAACCATATGTCATCATAATCTGTTCATGTTTTTGTAGATGACAAAGCCCCAGTGACAGACACCAACATTCCCTCCCATCTGGAGCAGATGCTGGATATTCTGACCCAGGAGGAGAGGGAGAGAGAGTCAGGAGAGACGGGACCCTGTATGGAGTATCTTCTCCATCACAAGATCCTGGAGACACTCTACACCCTGGGCAAAGCAGATGTGAGTGTTTTACTTAGAATTAGTGCTGGTTTCTATCAGTTGCAGACTAGAGCCCGACCGATATGGGTTTTTATGGGGTCGATACCGATATTTGGGAGTAAAAAAAAATGCCGATATCGATATATCAGCCGATATTCTTTGTGTATATTATAGTACAGTACCAGTCAAAAATTTGGACACTTTCCCATTCGTGTGTCCAAACATTTAACTTGTACTATATATAGAATACAGTATATACATAAACACTATTATACATAACACAAACTTTATTCCAAATGAGTCTGACATCAGTGCACTGAACAGTAAACTTGAAGTTTATTCAACTTGAAATCAATTCAATTCCATTCAACTTTATTCCGTTGAAGTTTATTTCACTTTGGAACATTCATTCACGGATTTGCGCTACTGTCTTCACACACAGACGGAACTTACTAGAAAAGTGTGACATAATGTACCTCTGTAAATAAATACAATATAAATTCACGTCTCGCGCACTTTAATGCCCTTTGAATGCAACGTGTACATTCCCTTGGAACTGGAATCATGGCGGAATATCATGTGAAGTCCACTTCGCGGGGCACTTACGGTCGAATAAGACGACGCTTGAATGCTGCTGCCTGAACAAGAGACCTCTTTACTGAAGTGGAAGTGTTGGCTGTTGTCACTATCTCGCAAACGCACCGGCGGATCTCCACCAAATTTGGGGGATCCCTTCAGCTCGAGGAGCCCTCTCGAACGTACACTCGATTGTCGTTCGAGAGGGTTTCTCGAGCTGAAGGGATCCCCCGAATTTGTTGCGGATCCGCCGCACCGTTATGGAGATATGGCTGTTCAAAGTTTCAATGGTTTTCCATAGACTTAAGCTTTAAAGCATTTCATCCAGGTCGCCAGTAGCAAACAATGGTGCCCGCTCTGCTGGACAAACTAAGTAATTACACCATTTCAAGCATTTTATCTGCGTTATATGCTCTGAAAAAAAAAATCGTATCAGCGGCATATTCGCCGATACCGATATATCGGCGACAGGCTCATATCAGCCGATACTATCAGCTAAACCATATATCGGTCGGGCTCTATTGCAGAATTGTAAATATTAGGAATGTCATCTGATTGCATTTTTGTTTAGAAGGCTCTGATCCAAAACTACCTTAT